ATATTTCTAGACGCCCATTGTCTAGAGAGGTTCGGACTCTGGCTAATGACTTTATGAGGCTGGAAGTACTAGAGAAGGGAGGATTTTTGGCCTGTGTGGAGGCAAGATCTTCTTTTCTTGACAGGATTAAGGGAAAACAGTTTAGTGATGAGAAGCTGAGCCAAATTCGAGATATGGTATTACGAGGAGAGGCTAAAGAGGCAATAATTGATGAGGAAGGCGTTTTGAGAATTAAGGGAAGGGTATGTGTGCCCCGTGTTGATAATTTGATTAACACTATTCTTACAGAGGCTCATAGTTCAAGGTATTCTATACATCCTGGTGCAACCAAGATGTATCGTGACCTAAAGCAACATTTTTGGTGGAGTAGAATGAAGCGTGACATTGTTGATTTTGTTGCCCAATGCCCGAATTGTCAGCAGGTAAAGTATGAGCACCAGAGGCCTGGAGGAACACTTCAAAAAATGCCCATTCCTGAATGGAAATGGGAAAGAGTTGCAATGGATTTTGTGGTTGGTCTTCCAAAGACATTGGGTAAATTTGATTTTATTTGGGTAATTGTTGTCAGATTAACTAAGTCTGCTCACTTCATTTCGGTCAAGGTGACTTACAATGCAGAGAAGTTAGCCAGACTCTATATCTTAGAAATTGTTCGATTGCTTGGGGTTCCACTTTCCATCATATCATATAGGGGTACGGAATTTACTTCTAAATTTTGGAGAACATTGCATGCTGAATTAGGTACTAGGTTGGATCTTAGTACTGCATTTCACTCTTAGACCGATGGTCAGTCTGAGCGAACGATTCAGGTGTTGGTGGATATGCTTCGTGCATGTGTGATAGAATTGGGTGGTCATTGGGATAACTTCTTACCCTTAGCAGAGTTTTCATACAATAATAGATATCACTCAATTATTGATATGGCCCCATTTGAGGCACTGTATGGGAGGAGATGTAGGTCTCCCATTGGTTGGTTTGATGCATTTGAGGTGAGACCATGGGGTACTGATCTTCTGAGGGAATTGTTAGATAAAGTAAAATTCATCCAGGAGAAGCTTCTGGCAGCTCAGAACAGGTAGAAAGAATATGTAGATCGAAAGGTTAGGGACTTGGATTTTATGGAGGGTGAGCAAGTCTTGCTGAAGGTTTCACCTATGAAAGGGGTGATGCGGTTTGGTAAGCGAGGCAAGCTTAGTCGGAGGTATATTGGTCCATTTGAAGTTCTGAAGCGCGTGGGGGAGGTGGCTTATGAATTGGCATTGACTCCAGGACTCTCAGGAGTGCACCCGGTATTTCATGTGTCTATGCTGAAAAAATACCATGGGGATGGAAACTACATTATTCGTTGGGATTCAGTTCTTCTTGATGAGAATTTGTCTTATGAGGAGGAGCCGGTTGCCATTTTATATAGATAAGTCCGCAAGTTGAGATCAAAGGAGATTGCATCTATCAAGGTTCAGTGGAAGAATCAGCCAGTTGAAGAGTCCACTTGGGAAAATGAGGCTGATATGCAAGAAAGATATTCACATCTTTTTACAAGTTCAGGTACTCTTTCTCGCCCTTGCTTTTCTTCTTGTGATCGTTCGAGGACGAGCGATGGGTAAATATGTATCTATTGTAACAACCTATTTAGTCATTCGAGCAGTAGAATAAGTTGTGATAAAAACTGACTGGTTGACGGATCACGCGACGGACCGTCATGGTCACGACGGACCGTGATGGACTCCGTCGTCCCATACTTGTGTAATTTCTTCTGCTGCTCTCCTCATTACCCTCGACGGCAGATAGGACGAACCGTCACAGGCACGACAGTCCGTCGAGCACCTTCATTCCAAAATACTTCAACTCTGAAATCTGGGTACTGGGATCGACTCTTTGAACTTCACGACGGAACTGCAGGACGGACCGTCATACATATGACGGATCGTCACAACTTGCGTAACCTCACTATCGAAATTAACTCTCTGAACGTTGTGATGGACCTGCAGGACGTACCGTCGTAGATACGACGGACTGTCACAAGCTGCGTAACCCCGACTGGGTCGGATTTCTACTAAAAGTTTTAAAGGGGTGTTTTGGACTATTCATGATTATAATTATGGAATTAGTGGGGTAAGCTTAATAATTTATTTACTTGGGGGTTAAAGAAGATAATAAGGAAATAAATAGTGGGTTACTTTTATCATAACGGATTATATGATAATTAGGGTAAAAGAAAAAGAATCTGCAGAAGGAAAATAAAAAGAACAGGAAGAGGGGAGAACGAGCGAGAGAGAGAGAACAAAGAGGAAAGCAAAGGCATTGGGAAGTAGCTTGCTTGATCACGATTCTTCGGTGGAGGTAGGTTATGGTTTTTTTTATGTGATAGATAAACTCTAAATAGCGATCAATATGTATTGGGTGGTATTGTAAAGTCTTCTATATGCTTGATTATGTGTTTCTTTGTTGTGATTGTGTAATTGTGGTGGTCAGAATGATGAGACTGTTGAATCTTCAATCTTAAATCCTCTTTATTAAGATGACGCCTTGACATAAAGAAGGCTTGATGAACTAAAATAATGAGATAAATGGATCGGAGTGTCACGTTTCGACACGGTAGCATTAGGGGATCGGAGTGTCACGTTCCGACACGTTAGCATTAGGGGATTGGAGTGTCACGTTCTGACACGGTAGCATTAGGGGATCGGAGTGTCACGTTCCGACACGGTAGCATTAGGGGATCGGAGTTTCACGTTCTGACACGGTAGTATTAGGGGATCGAAGTGTCACGTTCCGACACGGTAGTATTAGGGGATCGGAGTGTCACGTTCCGACACGGTAGTATTAGGGGATCGAAGTGTCACGTTTCGACACGATAATGATAAATAGAATGAATCTTGAATTATGTTAATATTCTCAGATTCGAAGAACCTATTTCCCAAATGAGTATGGTGTGGAGGCTTGAGTCCTTATAGGTGTGCTTGGTGTTGTTGCCAATGGTTCTTATACTTGTTGATTGTCACCTGTTAAGTATTGTGGTTGATTTTATATTATTTTTCAGCATATATTATTTTCTATTTTGAGTTGGCCGATGATACCTACTCAGTACGTGTTCCTTGTACTGACCCTTACTTGTAATTTTCTTCTTTGTTATTTGTGAAGTGCAGCAAGCGTGCCATCGACTTCGACTCGTCCTCAGCTGTAGCCAGTCTTCAGTACATCAGAGTGCAGGGTGAGCTATTATTCCTAGCTTGTGCTAGATTCTCTCCTTCGCGTCTTGATGTCTTGAAGTTCGGACATGAACCATCTTTTTACTTATTTTAGCTTCTTAAATACTCTTAGATTTAGAAATTTGAGGATAGTTGTTCTTGATGTGATGACTTCTAGATTTTGGGAATAACAAATATTTAACTTTAGAAGTTGATTTAGTTGATTTCGTTAATAAGTTTTGGATCTTCCGCATTATTTTTGCTATTCATAATTGATATACTGGTAAATGTTGGGGTTTAGATTTGTTGGTTCGCTCACCTAGGAGGATAAGTGTGGGTGCCACTCGCGGCTCGTTTTGGGTCGTGACATGAACAAAGAAAACTATATGAATCGAAGAAAAATTACATCAATTTTTGTGCTTGACAGTTAAATATGCTTTTATTGTATAAATATAATAATTTGATTATTTAGTTTTATTAATATTAAATATTCAAATGATATTCACTTTTACAAGGTGTTCAATTGAAAGTGAATAAAATTCATATTTTGTTATTCACTTTAAATTCATCATTTTCTTTTCAACAGCAGAATTTGATAATAACTTTTTCAATTTTTTTCTTAATTTTTTTATATGATGAAGGATATAGAAAGAAACCCCATTATCTCATTCACCTTCACTTCTTTTAATCTTTATTTTTTTTAAAAAAATATTTTTTTACTTGAGATTTTGATGTTCTTTTAAAAGTTATTATTTATTTGAAATCTTAGAAATCGACAATTTGCTTTAAACATGTTTTGATAATTTCTAGAATTGCTGTATAATTAAAATTAAAAATAAAATTAAAATTAAAATTAATTAATTATAGTTACGTTTAAATAAAAAATATAATTTTTTTAAAAAAATATAAATATCAAAATGAGTTTTAAAATTAATGTTATATAATTTATAACGATTTTTACAAATAATGTGATATAAGTATTATGACACTAAAAAAACTGAATTTTTTAGATAATGCTTTAAAGTTTTTTCACCTTTTTAGATAATTCTTTAAATTCAGTTGTACCTTCCAAACAGATACTTTTTACAAATTTTACTTTTATTTAGTGGGTAATTAATTAAAATTTTGTGCGCAACACAATATTATTTAGAAAAATCTATAATAACTTTTTTATTTTAAAATAAATTGATCTTTTTTCATTTTATTTAAAAATATTAAAGTTAAAAGGGTAAAAGTATTCAAAAAGATAAAACAACATTGTGTAAAATATATTATTTTACCACTTTGGCTAAATTTTTTGACCAAAACATTTTTCCTATTATTTGATTTTGTGGGCAACACATATTCTTTGGAAAATTCGATATATATTCCACTTTTATTTAAAAATATTAAAGTTAAAAAGGTAAAAGTATTTTAAAAAAATAAAAAACATAATATAAAATATTTTATTTTCATTTTGGCCAAAAGAATTTTTTCAATTATTTACTTTTTCAACGATTCATTTAAAAAAGTCAAAGAAACACATTAACCGACATGTACATGTTGTGTATCTATATATTTGAATCTAAAACAACTACTCAAAAAGCTTATATTATTTTTCTATTAATATTAATAAGTTTTTCTTGTTATTAATACTATTCTATTAATACTAGGGAGTAATTGCCCGTGCAAGCACGGGCCCAATAATGTAAGTTAATACTATTTATCTTATTTGATTGATTCTGATACAAAATTGCAGAAAACAGTTCAATATATGTAAACATTAGATATGATGATCATCACATGATGAAATTCTAAGAAGGCATGCTCGCAGAAATTATTTTTACTTGAAACATAATAAATTTTTTACATCCAATCCACATAAAGGTACATCAATTTGATGAGGAACAATTTAAACATCTTCCAAAAGAAAAGAAGAAGTCCTTGCGAGAAAAGAAGTTGTGTTACACCGACGAGCAGTGTTCTGTTCTCCATGAAACATGTATCCAGCACTTTGTTTGCCTTTGCCTACATCCAATCCACATAAAGGTACATCAATTTGATGAGGAACAATTTAAACATCTTCCAAAAGAAAAGAAAAAGTCCTTGCGAGAAAAGAAATTGTGTTACACCGACGAGCAGTGTTCTGTTCTCCATGAAACATGTATCCAGCACTTTGTTTCCCTTTGCCCCCATGCATATGCAATTGTCTTTTAACATCTATTAAATAAAAGAGCATAAAGAGCAATTCAAAAGTAAGAAAGTCGAATAATATAAGTAAAGTAGAATAGACAAACAAAACAACAAATCTATTTTGTCCAGATACTCGTGAAAAGAAAATATTAGTGTCAAGTGACAAATCATAACGACACTCTTTTTCAGCATAGTAAAAGGGGATAAAGTAGTTCAATAATATGTTGCAGTTTTCATGAACATGTCTATGTTTTTCCTATGTTTTCACAAAATCAGTTGACAGATCATTTTTCTAAGCACCGATCTAGCGTTACTATTTACATGAGATTTCACTATGTTTCTGCAAAATCAGTTGACAAATCATTTCTGTAAGCACCAATCAAGCCTTACTATTTACATGAGATTTCACTCATTCTATTATCTCTAAGCACCAGTCATCTCTCACATTTACAAGAGATTTAAGTTATTTCATGTCATTTTAAGTCTTAGGTAGTTCTTCCTCTTGCAACTTTTTCTACTCTACTTTCTATCTCATATAGATCTTTCTCGTAGTTTCTTCCTCATCCAATGACGGATTAGCTTGTCTTTCAGTAAGTCGTCGTTCTTAATAGAGGAGTATTGCTTAAGGAGAAATTTCACTAATATCAGTAAAATTCAAATAAACATCCTATTTTCAAATGCATAAACAATGTTGAATCATGCTAAAAAGTCTAAAACATAATCGAAATGTTATATAGTCAAATAAACTTTTCTAATGCACTTTTCTAGCTTTGTTCAGTCGTAAGTAACTACATATTGCAATACAATTTGGTGCTATAGCAGTAAGATTGTAGAATGGAATCACGCCACGATAGAATTATAATAGTATTTGCATTCAAGTACATCAACTTACATAGAAAAATATAAAAGAATAAAAACTTGAATGTTTGAAAGTGTGTTCGACAAGGTATTGCAAAAAGACAATAATTTGTCACCTGATCTAGAATGGGGGTCATGTTACATGACTCGTATACTCAAAATCTTGAACATAAGATCAGATTTAACCATAAGATTTAGTTATCTCAAATATATGACAAAGAAATTTTAATCTTTATGTGTTTATCCTTTTGGCAATCAAAGTCAAGAAAATTTACTTTAATATCAAGTTTTGTAATCAAGTTTCTCGATATGCTTGGTTCATATAAGTAAAACTCCAAGCCATATCATAAAAAAGTTTGGAGCTTTAAAGTAGCTAAATTTATAAAGGCATTTTTAGTGATGTGCATATCAAGGATAAGGTGCTTCCAGTGAAGCTTCAACATACGAAAATTTAGAGCTTTACTAATGTTTTAAAAAAAAATCAGAACTTTGAAGTAACTAAGGTCACAAAAGCTGTACAAAATTGCAAATAAAGCAAAATAAACTATGATATATTAGAGAACTAAAACCAACCACCAAGTTCTATTAGAGGAGCACCTTTCTTTCGGAATTGCTCGTAGGTCCCGTCAAAGATTCCACTTAAAGAAGATAGGCAAAGGAAAGTATTTCATCTAAAGTTCAACTCACCTTATTTTGTGGGAGAGATTTCCCTATTTTCATTTGAGATGCATCTACTTGTACAATAATTTTGTCTTGTGAGGCAGGGTATAAATGTGTGCACATGAGTATAATACGTTATATATGAATCAACTAAATCACAATATAAAAAAGTTATATCTAATATATCTTCTCAATCTTTCTTCGGTGGAGCATTCTGAAACTCCAAAGAGAAAACAACAGAATTCTAATCACAGAGAATACATTCACCGACATTTCAAAGAGTTTGAGCTGTATGACTAAAAACTAAAGGAGATCCTTTTTGTTAGGAAAAAACTCATTTATTTAATAGTAATAAATCCCATGTTAGTTAGCGAGCCAAACTTGAGTTGTTCGTCGGGATAATTGAAGAGTATGAACATGCTCCTTTGTTATGATCCCACTTAAATATTTTTTCTGACTTTGAGTGAGATCAAAGTTGAAACCATCACTATAATTTTACTATTGATTTCCCAACCCGTAAATGAATATTACTGAAACATAAGCAATAATTTGATTATAGACTTAATCCTACTATTATTTATGAATCCTACTATTATTTAGCGGCATTCTATTATCAAAGACACTTCGATTCTTTCATAGCAATCCACAATACCAAAAATATTTGTAGGTTCACTCAACATTAAAAAAATGGAGGCATGACAGAATTTACAAACTTTAGAAAAGAAAAAAACGCGTACCTGTCAATTTGCACCAGGATGATATAAAAATAAATGATATTTCTCCAGACGATGAGCCCTGTTCACACAAAGCAGATTTGGGAAATAATCAGGAACAAAAAATCATGAATCAGTAAAGCTTAAAAATATAAAAAAGTAAGAGTTCCATAATCTTTTTGAGCAACTCTTAACCAACCATTTCAGACATACAATAATGAGTAATTATTAGGTCCACCTTCAAACCATAAAGAAATTAACATGAAAAAACGTATAATCAAATCTTCAATTTAAAATTGCAAAGCTCTCCAACTACTATCCACTGTGATTATTGCACAAGTGAAATACATCAAGAATATTTAGATTCTTATTTATAAATAGCAAAAGGTAAAAGACGATTGTAACTTGCTAATATTGTGCATTTGTATTAATATCCTAACAAATTAGGTTAATCCACCGGATTAAGAAAAACATATACTTGATATTATTCAAGCTGCTATTAGGGCCATGGAAGAATAGAAAGCAATAGGTTTTGCAAAAGAGTTTTCTGTGCTACATGTCATCCGCTTGGATGCAGTAATAGGACACGTAGCTTAATGCATATCAACTCCGTTGGTTTAATGACCCAACTGCCCTTATTTTTAAATTTAATGACACTAAGCAGACATGTTGAAATAGAGCTTTTCTACTATAGTAGAAATGTAGTATATTCAAATCATTTAAATAAATAGTTATCTATTGTATATTTATAATGCAAATAGGTGAGCATTAATAATTTTTTAAATGCGTACATAATTCGATACAATATGTCTACTCATTGTGAACTCATTAATCATAGCAATGGAGCATTAAAGTTATACAATAATGAAACGTACCACATTGCAAACATTCAATTATCTTATTTTTTAAATTGAATTGTCTCTTCAATTTAATAATTGATATTATTATATTTAAATTTCTTAATTAAAATTGATTTAAAGTGAACTGTTATAAACATTTTAGGTAATACTCATAATATCATGTTAATGGTGCTTATAACTTATAATTTTATATAATTAATATTAAAACTAATATATTAACTATTTCTATGAAATTAGTTTAAAAGTTTTTGAAACTAAATTCTAAAATTATCTGTCATTGTTAAGTTATACGTATTTATTAAATAATAAAATCTACACATATTTAGAAAGACTATCCATAAAATAAATAGAAGAGACTTATAATAAATCAAAGGAGTGAAAGATGATCCATGTTTTTCATCTTTCAATATTTTCTGTGCATTTAAAATAATTTATTCTTATGTGATATAATATTATTTTGATAATTTATTTTTATGTGGCACTAATTCAGTAACTTTGTGCATTCTTATTTTATGAAATTGTATATAGATTAAATGAAAAACTATCTTATTTTGAAGGATTAAACGAGAGAGGAGTGTGCTAAAGAATTTGCAATATGCTTTGTAAATTATATTTAAATTTTAGCCACAAGTAGAAGCAAAATATTAAATACTGCATTTTAGATTGATCTATGAATATATAATCTAATTAACAAAAAAAAAGATATCAATTAAACATATGATACACATGTTATTACTCTTCATTGTATTATAAGAAGGAAAAGTTATTAGAATTAACATTTGGTGTTTTTGAAGAACATACATTCATTGCACATAAATTAGGGTAAAATTTTGTTAGCACTAAATGTTTATTTTATTAAATTAAAACATGATATATGATTTACACATGCACTTTTTTGCTCAATTTTTTTTTGTAATAGTTATTTCTAAGTTTAAAAATTATTACATCTTAAAATATCCGCGTAACGCGTGGGTACGTATACTATTAAGATGTAATAAATAAACAATACATACCAAAGTACAAACTGAATTATATTTGAGAGAGAAATTAAGGTAAGCAAATAATTCCTAATTTTATTTTTATTATCACTCTAACATCTCATAATATTAAATATCTAAGAATAGGTTAAAGAAACAAAGAATAATCATTTTTTAAAAGTAGGAGGAAATCTGGAAATTGGATAGTTTGGTCAACTTCAAACAATCATAACTCCTAGATCAGGAGGAGTTAGATGTAGTTCAACATATGGTTGGAAAGGTCTTGGCACAATCTTTTCAATGCACAAAGTTTGGGTAATTTTGAGTCTGTATGAGTGAGTTATGTCTTGTGAAAGTTGGGTTGTTGGATTAAGGAAAGTCCAATCCGGATTTGACAAGGGCAAGATTTTCTTTTCCATACCTAATTAAATTAATTTGTTTTAAGGGATTAATTGAGGTAAAAAAAACCAAACTTGGTTCAGTTTAGAAAGTTGAGGATTCATGTTAGCACTTTTGGAGAAAGAACGCAACAGGAGAAGAAGAGTAAAAGCAAGAAATTTCCAAGAAACAATCGATTAATTGGGAGTATATTCGGGGGTGATTCCTAAAAACGTATGTGAGTCTCTCATAGCGATTCGGTCCATTCACCCACGCGCCAAACATGCTTAATTCAGTGAAATTTGTCCAAAAAGGATTGGAAGTTGATGTTCTTGATTTCTATTCTTGAATTTAAGTGTACTCTTGAATTGGGTTTATTGTTGGAGTTTTTGAGACCTTTCGGTTTAAGTTTAGAGTATCATTAAGTTAGATTCGTGAGTACTAATGTTGGGTATCGGGATCAAAAATGATTTTGAGGAAGATATTTGAGTTTAGATGAATTAGGGTTGAGAAACGAAAAGGAAATATCGGGTAGTGTTGCGTGAAACTAGTTTGCATCGCGGACTTGTTCTAGCAAGAGTCAAAATTGTGATTCCACGTCGTGGAAATGGTCGCGGACCACTCTGTCCCAAAAATTGATTTTACGAATATCTTCTGGGAGCAGCTCCTCGAACATGCTTCACGATGATAATTTAGTAACTTTCTCAAGTTTAGCTTTTCGAAATCATTCCTAAGCATCAAGAGGTCCTTCCAAACACTAAACATACTCCTTGAATCCATAATTTCATTCAAGGATTAAGTAAGAGCCAAGAACAAAGTTTTCAAGAGTCTTTTACAAATATTTTTACTATGTTTAAAGACAAAAAGTTCAAGTTAATCAAGAGTAAATAGTTAAGTTCATTTCTCAAAAGTTATAGGGAAATTTGTATTCCAACGAGTTTATAAATGTTTTTACATATAAGGAAAGAGGAAACTGAGATTTCCCAAAAAGAGTCTTAAGCAAGAAAAATGGAACATCGATTGTAGCTTTTCAGCTAAGTGTTGAACAATTATCTCAACCTAAAGAAAGAAGGGTATTTAGAACAAATATTAGCAAAAGTATATTTTTTTGGAGTAGGATTGAGAACCGATATGGTGATGTGATTTTATATTAACTCAAGTCTCCATGAAAATAATGTAGCCATCATGGGTATTAACGGATCATACTTTAGATGATCATGTAAGTTAAGCTAGTTGATTCACTAAGTTAAGTAAGGTCCTATACCGATGGCAAGGTATAAGATGTTCCTTGGCAGCGTGAGGTAAAACGTTGTACAATCACTGGCTCATAGTGATGGTTGTCGGTTAGAGAATCTCCCAATAAAGTTATATTACTTTTGAATGATTAAAGTTAAGTTTGTTATTTCTTCATTTTTAATGAAAGATATTTTTCAATTTTTCTATAAGCTATATATATCACATGTATTCTTATTAATTTATTTTAAGTCGAATATATTGCTTGTGTCTTATTTCTTATATTGAGTAAAGTTATTCTTGAGTTGAGTAAAGCCAAGTAAGTGTTCCTTATTACTATTTTCAAGCTTAAGTTGTTCTTTTATCATTTTAACTTGCATACTCGTATATTCAATATACTAAAGCTAGTTGGCCTGCATCGTATTATGATGCAGATGCGGGTAACTAGGATCATCATCATCCATCACTTTGTTGATCTAGTTGAGCACTTAGAGTTAGTGGTGAGTCTCCTTGAATTTCGGAGAACCTTTTTATTCACTTCTAGTCTTTCTTTTATAGGATCTTGTGGGTTCTGCCCAGCATCCATCTTAGTATTATAGATGCTTCATAGAAAATCTGACAGTTAGTTATGAGTCTCTTAATTTTGTATTGCAGATCTTTTGCTATTAGAATTATGTTGCCAATTTGGCCAAATTATATTTTCTTTAAGTTATTGTACGAGATTATTTATTTATTGAGTTAAATCTTCCACTAAGTTATGTAAGCCAGTCCAAGGGTCTTCTCAAGGCAGCAATGGTCTTCGGGTGCCAATCTCGCACAGGTGTAGGATTGGGGCATGATAAACTTGCACATGTAAAGGAATAAAAGAAAGAGTTAGCCAAATATGTGCACAGACTTGGAATCCTAGGAGTCAGACTTATGGATTCTACAGAAGGAGGAATAGTGGTGAAGAATGGGGTTGAAGCATCACTAATGTCAGAGGTAAAGGAGAAAAAAGACCAAGATCCCATTTTTCTTGAATTGAAATCAAATATTCATAAGAAAAGAATATTGACTTTTGAATAAGGGGGAGATGGTGTGTTGAGGTCCCAAGGTAGATTGTGTGTACCAATGGTGGATGAACTCCTAGAGAGAATTATGTAGGAAGCTCATAGATCCACATATTCCATTTATCCAGGTTCCACCAAAGATGTATCGTGATTTGAGAGAAGTGTACTGGTGGAATGACATGAAGATCACATAATTTGTTGCTTAGTGTCCAAATTTCCAAAAAGTAAAAGTAGAGCACCAAAGGCCTGGTGGTTTGATTCAAAATATAGAATTTCCGTGATGGAAGTAGAAGATGATTAATATGGACTTCATCACATGTTTACCAAGGTCTTGCAGGCAACAAAATTTTATTTGGGTGGTTGTCGATAGAAAAAAAAATCAACCCATTTTCTGCTAGTAAAGACTACCCATTTAGCAGAAGATTATGCCAAGTTGTATATATTTAAGAGGTGGTAAGACTTCATGGAGCTCCGGTCTTCATTATTTCAGATAGAGGTGCACAATTCTGAAAAACATTCAAGAAATGATTGGGTTCAAAGGTGAACTTAAGTACTGCCTTTCATCCATAGACAGATGAGCAAGAAGCGCGTACCATTCAGACATTAGAAGACATTTTGAGGGATTGTATGATTGATTTCAAAGGGAATTTGTATGATCACTTACCTCTCATTGAGTTTGCTTACAACAACAGTTATCATTCTAGCATCTAGATGAATCCATATGAAGCTCTTTATGGGAGAAGATGCAGATCTCCTGTTGGATGGTTTAAAGTTGGTGAAGTAGGGATTATAGGATCAAATTTAGTTTACCAAGCTATGGAGAAGGTGAATGTGATTCAAGAGAGGTTGAAAATGGCGCAGATTCATCAAAAATCCTGTGCATATGTTAGGAGAAGGTCGTTAGAGTTCGAGGTATATGAAAGACTATATCTGAAAGGTAATTAGAGTTCAAGGTAGATGGCAGAGTATATCTGAAGGCTTAATCCATAAAGGGT